TCCTGCGGATCTTGGAAAGAAGACTGCCCGTTGCTCACAAGGACATGTATCTACAACAAATTTTTGTTTAGAAAGCTTTTCTTACTTAAGGCTGCAATCCGGAGAGGTACAAGCGATGGAAGACTTTTGTAACAAGGTAGTTTCATTAAGGCAGTGTCTTCAGCCTCACACAAGTTCAGTAACTAGGGGGGGAAACCAACACATTTTAGGATAGCGTTGAGAATCGTCTTTTATTATCAGTTACCTTTTGAGACTTGTTTCCTCAAAGAGCCAAGTTTATGCAAACACACTAATAGCTTTTCTCCTGAACAGTCCTAACAGTACTTAAAATACTGAAGAAAGGGGTAAGAGAACGGAAGGAGATTAATAGGGAAGAAATGTGCTGAAAATGTCCTCAGTTATTTCAATGGTCATGGGCCACTGCCCAGAGGGATAGCTCCTTGCTACAGAGGTCTGCTCTTTGCAGGCAAGCATTTTCTATCTACCCATGTTCTTTCTGTTAGAAAACACCAAACAGGTTGAAACAGAGTTACAGAAGTTAGCAACATCCCAGTTGCACTGATACCAAATAATGTTATTAAGATTCAGACCTTCATAGTACCAATATATTAGTTGCACCTTGACACAGTTTTTAAACAGCGTTCTATTTTTTTCTTAAGGAAAAAACAGGATCCCCTGCATTAACTACTGTACATTATATGTGCCTTGCTAATTGCAATTACTATTGGTATCAAAGACCTTCAGAACTTATGTCTGGAAGTTTCTCCGAGTTAAACCTGCACACTAGTTTTATATCTGATTTTGCTCTAACTGCTATGGACTCAAAAATTAAACAGTATCTGTGTTTTGGTGGTAGAACAATTTATTTCATAGATATCCTGTGCATAAAATAAGACCTAATTATGAAAGTTAGGGCTACTAGACTAGGAGTATAACATCAAGGTTCAATTAATATATTTCACACACACTAGAGTATTCTGCTTAGCTCAGAGCTGAAGGCAGACCTCAGTTCAAGTTTAAAAAGATAAATTCTTAAATTTTGGTGAAAGTTTAAAATGCATGTTCAAATAGGACAACATAAAAAGACAGTACCTCTGTGTAGAAAACCTTGTGTTCCACAACATTTAGATCCATTGTAAACAATCGAGGTTGCAGGGTTGTGCAAAATGTATTTCCTTCCATCAGGCCAATCTGGGCATTTGCAGGTTGATGCCTTAGTAAATGCTTTTTAGGAGGAACCATGTCTTGGAGAACCTACACAACGTAATTTAGATCAATGAATTATCAGACTATTCAATTGACCTCACAGACCTAGCCACTAAGGCATCACCAGCCATGGCTACACGTTTCTGTCCATTCAGTATTGTGGCTCCAGATGTACCCTCTTTAAAAATTGCTAAAGAAGAAGAAATGTATTTCTCTGAACTAATTAAATTCACAGTCAATTATGAAAACAAGTCAGTATCTTCAATTATTACATATTCTCTGTGAGCTGATCTGTGTATGATATTTAATAACTTCACATAACATTATAAGCAACAAATTCATAGAATTAAGCATTGCAAATGTTCAAGTCAAGAAACAAGAATATTTTACTTTCCTAAAACATCAGAGAAATGAAAACAGTCGTGTCAGTTTTTTCCCCATTACATGAATATTTCACTTCCCTCCATAAACACCCTTAGCAAAATAAGATATTAATTAGAGGGTTTCTCTGTATATTCCCAAACTACAATAGCAACATCTATGATGTCTTATGTTGTGGTGGTCCTTAGGGCTTACGTACATTTACTTGTCTTTCAAGAGAATGAGTGCTATTAGCTTTAAAGGAATATCTAGCAAACAGCTATTTCAACCAGCTTTGATCTTTATGGTCTCCTTCTGGAAAGGGAAAGGCATAGCAATATGACTCATGTTTAGAGAACAACACAAAACTGAGGTTCACAATGCAGTATCTATCTGGCCTAGCCTATGTCTGAATAGTAGTAGGATGAGCAATCCATAATTTCATGAAGTAAAACAACCTGAATACACTATAAATACTGGCTAAGTAGTGAGGCACGGCCTGGATCAATCTCTGTAGAACTCCAGCAACAGTGTATTTTAGAACAATGAAACCTGACAAATGACAAACATGTGCTATGAAAGCACTAAGAACGTAATTCACTAATGTGGGAAAATGAACTCAGAAAAGCATTTTGGAAATCCAAACTGGTAAACAACTTTAAAGTCACTTCCAATAAGTATTTCTGCTTACCTCTTTATGTGGCTCCATAATCACCGTGACACTTTTTCCAGTGACCTGTGCAAGCACCTGCAATGAATGCATGGCCTGCTTTCTGACAGTAGAGTTTGGAGAAGTTACTTCTCGAACAAGGTCATGTGTTACATGATGGAAAGACTTCTCCTGTGCTGCCAGGATTTCTTCCGTTTTTTCTTCATCTTTTAAAGGAGTTGCACATCTAATCAAAAGCTGTTCTAATGTGGTCTTTGCCATAGCAACTGCTCCATTAGACACCTAAGGCATCACAGGTTATTTTAATTAAATACGTACAGAACAACGATCACAAATCAATACACTACTCATCAAGAAAATTAGTAGCACTTAAAAAACACAAAGCTTAAACAGAACACTCATATTCGACTAGCCTTCCCACCAAACATTCCAAAACAACACAGTTTTATAAACTAACTCAAGCACTGGAACCGTTAGCAAAGTTGTCACCATGATTCAAAACTAAGAAAAAGTCAGGCAGCCAATTCTCTAGGTATCTGTATCTATCTACATACAGCTTTTTGAGAAGATGAACATCTTTCAAACTAAACAGAGAAAGAAGAAAAAAACAGCACTTTCCATGCAAGTGACAGTGAACCTAGTGCTCGTTCAATAACCTGAATGAGCCTTGTACATTCCTACTCTGAAAGAAGCAGGGTGAATTCCAAAAATCTGGTAAAATTAATGTAAAAAAACAGACCTCATTCCTAACTTCAGGCCTTGGTTTAAGTTAACATGACTAAAATTCATGTGCCACTATCATAGATACAATACATTCTGAAGTTAAGTAAAATCCAGATTACAAAGGGTTCAACCTGCACGAACTTCAGAACAAAATTTTGTTTCCCCCATAGTATTTCATACAATTCATTCATTAAATACCTCTCCAGTTAGATCCATCATAACAAAAAGAAGTGCCTTCAGGAAAGTCTGCTGGTTCTGGAGGACCCAAATCAGTGGCAGTCGTTCCATAAGAAATTTAATTGACACAACACCTCCTAGTTTAGCATACCAAGCTTGTTCATAACAGCAAGCACATAAACGTTCCACAATGTATGAAAACAAGGGAAGCTGACAAGCCTGGAAATAAAGAAATACATCAGTTTGCTTCTTCAGCTCACTGGTAGCCTCCAAAATTTTAAAAGCAAAATTGCATTGCCTGAAACTCGCTCATTTAAATAGATATTAAATATATATATATATGTATTACCCTTTCCTTCGAACCCAAGATAATGCTTGCAACATCAAATATCACTGCCAGAGCCACCTCTCCTATTTTGCAGAGTTCCTTCTCCTCATATGCCATGCAGATTGCTATGGCATCAATAAGCACCAAGGGATCCATGCCTTTTGAACCATTTTCTTCACTATGAAACATGGCTGTGCTAGGCTGGCTTCCAACCTGGTAACACTGCAGCAAAAAAGGACCTGCAATTTGTATTGAGGAAGAAAAGAGAGGGGAGGAAAAAAAGAAGATAAAACAATGGATATTTCAACATGAATAGCCTTTCAATTGGATTTTACTTCTCTGACTAGCTGGTGACAAAGCCAGTAAGCACTGTGTCCATCTGCACATAAACTGATTGTAAGGCATTCTACACTCTTAGAAGAAAAGGACATCTTCCTGAATATTGTCTTCTATGCACTAGACTATGCACTGCAAGAAAATTTGGTTAAAATGAGGAATAATAAAAGTAACATTGCTCACAGTATGTCTTCTCCCAAATTATTTGTCATATGGTCGAACTACAAACAAAATGTTTTCCTCATACATACAAGACAAGGCAGTTCTCTAACATTTACTTAGTTTCTCTGGTGGTTCTTCCACAAGTGGAAACAACTCAATTAAGGACCATCCACAAAAATAACTGCACATACCCAGTTACACAAATGCTCTGGAAATATAAACTGTTCCAAGCTGTTATTGTAGCATTTTTAAAGTATTATTAGGGGACTGTTTTTTTAAAACTTGATAATTTTTCACTGCTTGGAAGAATTAAAACATCATTCAGCCATCAAATAAACAATATATCTACCCAGAAACAGCTGCAATATCATGACTTTCTTAAAAGAAATATTAGAAAAAAACATGAACTACACAATGTCTGTTCCACTTCACTTACCACACTGCTGGGCCACTGCCACCATTGTGTAATGGCGGATCAAGCTGGCCACAAAAGGCAGAGCACTAGGCCTCAGGTCTTTGATGACTGCTGACATGAACGCCCCTGTCAACGCCTGTTCAAACGTTTTACGAGCTGGAGTATCCTGAGCTTTGTATCGATGAGAAATAATCACACTGGGTATGGACTTCTCAGTAAAGCTGGAAGAGAAAATTAAGTTCATTATTATCTTAAACTGCAGTACTGGCAGCTCGACCACGAGCATCGTCAAGTACTTGATTTAAAGTTTACTAACTCCTCCACGTCCTATTTTCCCCTCTATTTTGATAGAGTTAAACCCTTTCACTCAGTCCGTATTAATTTTGTCAACCAGTGGTCTCACACATGATGGATAGCTCAATTTCATGAGGAACATTTAAAGCCAGTGGTTCAGAAGAAGCTGCGTATATTACAAATAATAGGTATACAGGCATCACACTGCAACTCAGTTCCAGAATGTCATTTGCAATTTTTGACATTTTTCCATTTGTTTTTTTTTTTTTTAAATGGCATTTTGATTTTAATCTTGAAAGACTGAAACATTATTTATCAAATCACTGCCCAACAAATCCTATTCACTGCAAAGCTTTATTTATGACAAGTCTAACAAGTCCAAATTATAAAAGCTACTATACTCTCTAGCTACATTTACTACATTGCAAGAGTCAAAGTCAGCACATACACTTTATGGGCAAAGACAAAGTTGTCTAAAACCAATAAACTCATTAAGCACCAATTATTTAAACTGGAAAAGATGTAAAAATTTCAGTAAATAGCCCATACACTAAGACAAATATAGGATACACAAGTGACTGTTACAGTTTGGTCACTAAATGAAACTTAATTTTGTACCTTTTCCACTTTAGTAAAAAGGTTATATGTACGTACAAAATATCACATTCCAAATTAATCTTTAAAATGTAATTACGCACCAGAATATTCCAACTATTTAAATAAAAAAGAATTAAATTTAAAATGTCTGATCATATGCAACAGATTATACACTGTATTGTGATTAAGCGAAGCAAATTAAAGCATGAGACCTTAACACATGTCATTTGCATTAAATAACATGCTCACAAAATTCTTCATACTGGAAAGTCCTGTACTGATTTAAAAGGAAGCAGGATAAAGCAGTAGGTAAAAATCCCCTGAACAATACATTGCCCAGGCTAACTGCTGTCTCTAAATTAGGTTGTTCTAAAGACACTATAAATTTTACATACACATTTACGTTTAAAGAATTGTCATACTTGGGATGTGCAAGAAGTTGGTATAATGCATGTTTATTATCATCCAGGCTCATCATAGCTACTAAAAAACACTTGATTACTTCCCACGCTTGCCTCCGATAATACGGTTCTGTGTTAGCACTCTTCAAACAATCCAGAGCAGTCTCAATTGCCTAGAATTGAAAAAAAAGGTAGACAGTAACCAAACACTTCTTGCTCTTAATATTTAGAATAGGGATTAATGAAGGGAACAGTATCTTTAATGCATACTAGAAGTAACTTTAGAAGTATATATAACTTGGACTTCCTAAGTTAAGGAATGCAGAGAATGTCGGAAAGTGGACTTGAGACTATGAAGGTATTTGCTGTGGTTTTATAATGCAAAGGTTCATGCCAGATATTTATTTCCACAGTCAGAGAGCATTTGAAGTCATGAGTGAGGTACACCTTCATTCTCTCTCTCCCTCGTCGAGAAAATTTACTTTGCGTTCCCTCCAGCAACAGCTGCTGTTCCTAATCTCCATATACTGCAGGTATACAATGCATTTGCACACATATATAAATGATACCAAAAATGTTCTATCTTACAAATTACTTCGTCATATTTTTCATTCAAATCAAAAGCTACACCACATAAGATGAAATGTCCCTCTAAGCAACTTCTAAACACTGTTTACTTAATGGAAATTGTACTCTTCCTTCAGAAGAAGACTTTTTTTAATACATTTGCGAATAATTCAAATAATCTCTTTATATAAGAGAGCGATGAAAAGGATGGGTACAACTTTTGGGAAAAATTCTCTTGTGCATACATATAAACACAGCCAGCTACCTCTATCCTTTCCCAAAAAAAAGAAAGGAAGATATTAAAACCAAATAAGTCGGGCATTAAGTAAAACAAAAAAACAAACAGTCATGCTTAAACAGCATTACTCAGGAAAAGGGTCTGCTACAAAGAAGTGGGCATTTTCCTTCTTTCCTTTCCTTTCTTTCTTTTTCCACTTACTGGTCTAACCAGCTGTCATCCCATGGGTTTGAATAACCAATTAAAACAACGAGTTTTACACAAACCACAGAAGATGACCAAAGCACTAAAAGGAAACACGGATTTCTCATTTTTAATTTATTCCACTTCTTTTTCCTTTTAATTTGACATTTCCTTTTTATAAATGCAGAGTATTTAGCAGACAAAACTGGTTCTTGGTCAACATCAAGAAGCTGAAGATTGTTCCAGATCATTAACCAACACGTAAGATAAATATTTTGGAAAATTTGGTTTGAATTGAACCTAGCAGAATATGAAAATGTCAGAGATTAACAGTATTTATGTTTATTCAACTCATCAGTTTCAGTACAGAGGAGAAATAAGTAAAGCTATCTGCAATTTTAAGAATAATTCTTCCAATCTATTTCTAAGCCTGCCTGTACAGAAAATTGTTCAGATTTTCATTCAGATCATACCTACGTAGGAAAGTATAATTGAAAAGGTAAGTGTTAAAATTCTACAGGCTAAATTAACTCAGAATTCAGCTTCACTCCAGGATCCCAAGACACAGACACCGATTAGATTGCTGTAATTAGTGAAAACTAAGCACTTGTGATACATGGAGATTGTCTGATGAAAGCCAATACAAGTATAAAGTGGTTTTGCAGCTACAAGTACTACACTCAACCTAGAGACAACAAACAAAACCAAATCACTGGAGTCATTAGAGTAATCATCACTGAAGAATTTCTATGGTAAATTTTAGAATGCTTCAGAATACAAATAGGCAGCTTTCGAGCAGATCCCCACTCCTCTTCCAAGCAGTACACTTCTAGAGTTTACTTGTGCCATGTCTGCTCCCCCTCCTATCACTTTGTAAAAGCAGAACAGCATGTTTAAGTCTACTGGTTCTGGGGTGGTGTATACAACAGGTTAAAGGGAAAGTAAAGAAAGAACAAGTTGGCAAACTTCTGTTACTTTTGCATGTCAAAATAAAACAAGAAATTAGCATATGTCTGCCTGCCTTATATGGAGACTCAATTGATTCCTACACAGTGAAAAAAAGCTATTTGCAATCATTTTTGAAAGAACATTTTGTCCTTTACCTCCGAGGTCTGGAAACTCAAAAATTACTTGGGCCTTTGACTCTGTTCCTTCATAAAAACATAAATAGAAATCTCTTTGTCTAACTGAAGGGATATTGAAAAAACAATTAAAAACAAAACAAAAAAAAAAATCAGGTATGCAAGAGATCCTAAAACTTACTTTTAATTATGTAACTTCTATAATGTTAGATATCATTAACTCATATCTGGAACTGGCAGACATACCATACATTTCCTTAAGGTTTTAGAAGCAAACAAACATAAAATCCGTAAGAAACAAATATTGAGTAGGCAAAAAAAAAAAATTTCTTCTCAGCAGAGAAAGTAACTTAAGCCCTTACCTTTTCCATTGGGAGCTGAATGGATGCTTTACAATCTGAAAACTCAATAGTAATACTGGGCCCTTGGATTTCTGTGACTACATATTGTAGTTTCTGTGATTCCTTTAACATCTTCCTGTTACTTCCACCAAATTTACCCAGTACACGGTAAGCCACATGAGAAATGCTGTCTGCAGGATTGCGCAGCGTACGCCACAAAGCCTGTGAGCATTTTAAATGTTACATGATCAGATCAGTCTCCCTTCAAAATTTTTTCAAGTTGTAACGTAAAAAAAGGTCAAGGAAAACACTTATTTTTGTATCTGGCTAATTGATCCACATAACTTCCAGAAAATACTTATCTAGACTGAATAAAAGCAGTCAGAGTTCCCAACAGTTCAAGTACTTTGTAACCAGTTTGTCCTAAATATGGTTTTAGATTAGATGACTGGGATCAGCTACAAAATCTTTGCCACACTGAAATGCAATTTCATGTTTATGACTAATATTAGACAAGCAACATTACAATTTGGAGGGCTGGGGACATCAAAGCAAGCCAGTTAAGACTGATGTGGATTTGCCTCTGAGATAGTTTTGAAAAACATAAAGCAAATAAGTAACTATTATATATAAAGTGTATGTAAGCACTGTATTAAGGGAAATAGCCTCACTTAAAACACCATCCAAAATTTCAGCCACATCATCTTCACTGCATACTTAAGAGTTCATATAGCTGTCAATCATGATATGTTAAAGGAAATTGATTTTTTAAAATACAAACAAGAAAAGCTAACAAATTTTAATCATTTTCTCTACCAACTCAGCACAAATAGTCTTCCTATTGAGTCTCAAGTCTTAACTTTAACTCCTGAACAGGGAGTAAAGAAGAAATTATTAATTTTAAAGTTTTTCAGAATTTTCAGTGGAACAGTACACCACCAACTGGCCTTTTACATACAAATCCGACTGGTATGGTTCTTAGAACATACTTTTAAAGGTTTTATAACCAAAGTTTCACATGTTTCTAATAATATTTAGGGAATCAATGACCTCTTGTGGTCTAACAGGAAACAACATATTTACCTGCATTAGCTCAGCTCGAACAGGCTGAATGTGATCATACAGAAAGTCTGGCTGCAAGTTATCCACACACAACTCAAGGGTTCTTAAGCCTTGGCTAACCAGGGTCTGAGATCCGTTGAGAGCTGACACCAAGGGATCCATCAGCATTGGCAGGTAAGGCAGCAACGAGCTCAAGCGAACCGGCACAGTGAGGCAGAGCTCCACAAACAAGTCTTTCATGTGTTGTTTATGAAGGCCACTTTGCAACATATTAAGTCCTGAAAATCATTGGTAAGTTATACACTCAGAGAAGAAAGACAATCCACAGTTTATTGTTAAAAATTGCTCTTTCCCAAATTTAGAACAAACTGACATTTTTAAATTCTGTATTTACAGTTCTATTCTGTATTCACAGTTCTATTAACAGTGCATTTAAAAAATACAATACCTTCCATAGTTACAACTTACATCTAAGGACTTTATGCAGTGAATGCTTCTGTAGGTACATGCATACAGAAAAAAAAAGAGTATCTACACCTATTCTGAAATTTTAGACTCAAAGTAGTATTTGAATACCATGGATGAAAACCAGAAAACTATAATGTGACTCCAACCTCAGCCTTGCAGCAATTAAAAAAATCCATAAAACAAGTTTTTTTAAATATCTAGAATCCTGAAAAGAAATTAAATGATTTCAAGTACATGTTTTGTCCCACACAGACTAAGCATATTACCCAACTTATTTTTCTCCCCATTACATTTTCTTATATTCCATAAACCTAGCTAGCTCTTCTACACTGGTAGGCATTTTATATAATGGTTTATGGATAACATACATATTTGCTAGCTACAATAAAAATTACCCCTACAGCTGTAGATGGGAATCACAGAATTTCATGTTCCTGGAATTGTTCCCATTAGTTTCTTTTTAGGTTTAAGGAGCTCTACACATTTCCTTGCTCATTGTCAGTATCTCTGGAACACAGTCCTTGCAAAAATGCTCAATTAATCAACCTGATTGTTATTACCTTTTCTTTTCCCAAACTGCCACGACTTGCAATTCCATTTATCATGCACTTGCAGGTGCACACACATACCCTCAACCACAGGACAACAAAAGCTTCTTGGTAACATTCTTCCACAAAACCACTGATGGCCTGGCAACACTGCTCCTCCTATTGCTGCTGTCCCCCACTGCTTTATGCTAACAAAGTTACCCCCAGCAAAAAAAAAAAAAAAAAAAGCCTCACAATGAGAAGAAAAACAAGCAGCAGAAATTGTGAAGCAGCCAAAACTATGGAGCCTGAAGCAGATGATAGTAAATGAAAATAAACCACATTCAAGATACTTATTCAACTGCTAAGAGCAAAATCAGAAGGTACTTATCAGAGTTAGGGCCTTAGCTTTGTTGGTTTTGGTTTTGGTTTTTTTTTTGTTTGTTTGTTTGGTTTTTTTTAATATTACTCAATGCAACTTTACTAATGCTATTTACATAGAAAGATCAGAAAACTGGGATAGGGAAATAAGGTATTGTTCTACCTTGCAGTAAGTTCGGTAACAGTGGCAAGAATTCTTGGTAGAGCAGATCATGACTGCCTCCTCCAATAGATCTGAACAGTGCTCTGAGCAGCAGGAAATAGTTGTAGGGCTCTTTGGCAGTCTGTGCAAGTTCCATAGAGCTGTTGACAATCTTGTGCAAATGTGGCTATAAAAAAAAAATAAAGCTTGAGGATTAATAAAATACCAAATTTATCATCATACTGTACAAAAGTTTGGCATGAGACAAGTTTTCCAGATCAAAAACCTTCAGCTATTCCAAGTACTTTGATATCACACTACTTTTACACCACTGTTAAAAAATTGTTAATATGTACTTGAACAGCATCAAGAACACAGAGTGTTCTTTAATTAACTAAACCCTGCTTTCATAACCACCAAATGATCAATTCTGCCTGCTACTCCACGCAGTAACTTTATAAAAAAACTTCTTCAAATCTGAGACAATAAAAAAGTATTTGCTCCACAGAACCTAAGGATGGACGCGTAGCAAAAACCAGAATCGCCAGAATGCCAAAAGAAGACACTTCACAATACCAATGCACTCCTCATCCAACTCCATTGCTAATTCTTAATTATGGAACTGGTGGCCTGCCTAGAGCAGAAGACATTAACAGTTCACAGGAATCATTAAAAATAGTTGATAAATACAAGGATTCTCACAGACCAGGGACAAACAGGACACAATTCTGGATTTTATTAACATCTAAGAGCTTCCTGCGTTACTATGCAAATGCTGCAAATAGCCTCCATCATTCAATTAAATTGTCTACCCAAGGCCCATATCATCAATCCTGCAGAAACAAAAAAACATTACAGAAGCATGAAACTAGACGTAGTAAATCACACTCTTTAAATTGCATCTCCAGCTTATAAAATCCAAATGACCTTGATTCTGATGACAAACTAGAGGAATTAAAGCAAGATTATATGAACAGAGCTCCATATTACTTGTGAATATTGTTTCATATTAGTTTTATCTTTCAAATAATCTACCCAGAAAACTGAACTAATCCTGCTATAAGAAATCATTAAACACAGAAATTATCATCACAGTTACCTGTATCAGAAATTCTGTTTATTCTAAGGTAAAAGGAAGAGAAACAGAGAGAAATGAGAGCAGCACTATTCATTAATATCTAAATGTTTTTTTTCTGGATATAGGCAGCTGTTACTTTCATGAGAAAGGCATACTCTTGTTTCAAGCTCAGTATTTCCAAACTCCCTGAATAATGCAACAATCTTCCTTGATACAAAAAGATCCTCAGAATACATACACAATATGTTGTCAATAGAGAAAAACAGCATTCCTTAATACAGACTTTTCACAGAAATATCTAACTAAAGAGGTATACTTCATAGAATACGACATGAATGAACAAGATTCACCAACACACAAAAAAGTGATTCTAGTCTAAGGAAAAGTCTTCAATTAACATGGAAACAAAGGGGGAAAAAAAATTATGCAGGAAAACAAACATATCCTGACCATGAAGTTACACAGGTTTTTAGCAATACTAAGATGACCACAAGCTTATATCAGTCATTTCTACTCAGAATTAGGACATCCCTTTAGTTTCAGATATGAAGCAAACTTTTATAAGAGATGGTTTCTGTGAATAAAGCAACGTACTTGGAGTTTGGAGAAAAACTGAGATGTATCACTAGTGGTTCAAATGTGAAAAGACCACCAAATGTTAGACAATGTACAACTCTAAGTTTCTTCAAACATCTAAGGAACACATTTAAAGTCAAAACAGATATTTCTGGGTTTCACACAAACGAGCTTTACCTTCAGCATTTGTTCATTTTCAGCTGCAAACAGTGAAACTGAGCCAAAGACTAACTTGAACAGCTTGAGATACAGATTGGAGAGTTCCACATTAGAGCCCATTTCTGGTAGTCGGTCCAGAAGATATTCTACCAATATTGTTGCAAAGAGGGCAGAGGTAGTAGGGTTTGCCAGGAAGGAATTGGCAACAATCTGTAAAAGGAAACCACAAAGGACTTATTGTTGCTGTAATGATAAGAACAGAGGGATAAATGCACTACCCACTTAACACCAAAAAAAAAAAAAAAAATTTCTTTCACCACCTCCACTGCTACCCAAGTGATTTAAATTATCCTCAGCAGAACACCTCCATGAATGTACATTAAATATTTAAGCTTAGTTTCATTTTAAATGTGTATTACAGGACTTGCATTCTGTGAAACAGTAGAACATTAACACAACCACATGAACAAACCAAGAACTCCACAACATTCAATATTTGTCAAGAATAAAATCCATTCATATTTTCTAAATTGAACTGATTGTGTTTGTATTGCATCACTTAGTGTGGAACATTTTTGAAAATCCATCTTTACAAAGTATTTTTTATAGACTGCTTCAAAGCTTGTATGATAATTTCAACGTTATTATTTATAAGTCCACTTCAGCCTTACATACTCCAAGACATGAGCTATTTTCTATATGCTGCTTATTATCAATTGAAAAAAGTAAACAAAAACATAATACCTGAAGAGCATAGTTTTTTGAGATTCTCTCAACCATATAAGGAACAGTAGTTTGAAAGATTTCTTTAAAAGTTAAAGGGTTCATCATGGTGAACACACCAGCAAAATGCTCCAGCACTTCCTTTTCCTCTTTCATTCTGACTGTCTGGCAGTTTGCTACTCGCACATATGTTTGTCCATTTCCTGCTATTTGGACCTACAGCAATTGAGAAAACACATACACTGCTTACAGAATTTGAGTAACTTTTGTCTCAAAGTACCTTTTGAAAGAAATGAGAGTTTACCACTTTCATACGTAAGCTGTGTACAATTAGAAGCTGGGCACAACAGCCAACAGTGACAACAAAAATACTAAAATAAGTATTTTCAGCACCATCAGAAGTAGAAAAAGACAACAGGATGAGATATCACAGTGTATTTGTGAAGATACTTCATTCTAAATCATGTACATTTACATCTCATCCATACTTTGTGTAACTACAGGAGATAAACAGCCACATGAATGCCTCAACTGACAGCTAAACTATCTCTTTGAAGAAAAGATTTCATCCACAACATGGAAGACAATTATTTTTAGTCTGTCCTGCCTGACCTGCATAAACACAGTAACAGCTGCTAAGAAAATAATTTGTTCCTTCTAAGTGATAAGTACTTTGAAATTCATAAAATTTCCCAATAGCTGTGGTCCTGAAATTAAATGCAAATATACTACATGTGAAATTTATCTTTTAGCTGACACATAAATCCTTACTGAAAGACCTAACACACAGTAACTTTGTAAACAAAAGCTCTATGTGGCCAGGTTACATACCTGATAAATATCTAAAGCTTGCATTGCATATTTTACCAGTTTTATATAGATTTGAGTCTCCTTAGGTTGCAATTGCTTATTGGGAATGAACTGTGCTTCTGAAAGAAGATAAAACATAAGACAAGAGTTAACTGTTAAAAATACTATTTGCTTTCATGCTAGGGAGTTTTAATTGTAAATGTAATTAAATATGATGCAGTTTTACCACCAGGAGCTTTGCATGATGTTATGCCCCATGTGATTGTCTTGACACCACAGACCAAAGTTTTTACTAAGCTTCGGCAATCTGTGACCTGAAACGTCTGTTTATCTTCTTTTTCTTTCTCCCCTTGTTTTTCAAACACAGGTACTGGTGCAGGAGCCACTGGAGTGGCTGGGGCAGGGGATGGCACAGGCACAGGCGCTGCATTGGCTGCTGTTGGTACCCCAGGTAACGCGGCTTCAGCCGCCCCAAGCTCAGACTGGGGCTTGCACTTCTTAAAAATAACAGAAAGCTGGTACCGTGCTATGGTGTGAAATTTCAGAACAAACACCTAAGGCACAAATAGGAAAGGCAAATGAAAGAACAGGGAGGGGAAAGAAAAAAGAAAATTAGCTTCTTCTTTGAAAATCATTCTAAATTTAATACTAATACTTCAAGTCAGCATATCAAGGACAATAAAATCTACATCTAGGTATTTCTGAAGTCACTTAAAAGACAGCAAACATTTTTAAGTGTATCAACAAAGAAGCTTGCTTACTTTAATGAGTTCCAAAAGTAAATATATTTGCTGAAAACTAATAAAAAAATCAACTAAAAAAATGGACCTCTCTACAATTCTACTTAATTTTAAATGAAAACCTATTTGAATTCATCTTGAAAGTAAAACAATATTTCAGTCTATAAATATTTACTATTAAGCACAAGAACACTGAATTTTTCAGATGTGTACGTCATGTATGCCAGATGTATTAAAAGATGTATAAATTATAGGTTAAGTTTTAGTTTTATGCAGCATATCAGGTTTAAAAAGCCACAGTCAATCCTGCAGAACAGTGTCTCTCAACATCTCTGCCTCCTGGCTGACACTAAACAAGGGACATGTCGCAGGGAATTTCAGTTTAAAATTTTCTGTACTTTCCAGATTTTCAAGTCTAGATCTACTTGGCTTGCTCAGTTATTTCCCCACTACTGCTACAGTTCTATACACTCTCTTCTTCCCTAGATATATCTTCTCTGAATTTACAAATTATTACAAATTTTAATTTGCTAAACCAATTACCAATCAATTGTGCTACATGACAGACTTCAAGAAGTAAAAGTTTATTTGGAAGACAAACCCTACTAGAAAGCTACTTCAATTTGAAAAATCTGGAATGTAGGACCCATTACAATGCATAACATCAACATTTTTCACTTGCACCATCACTTGTATTTAGGATGAAAGTTGGTGTTAACACCAGCTTCATTTAGATTTCAAGAAATGCTGTCACCTACGAAAATGAGATTATTAACACAGTATTTACCCTAGAAGCATTTTACTCTACAGTTGAGTGCATCTTCACGTTGTGGCAGGAAAAACACTAAGCAACATTTTTCCATTAACAGCTTGGCTGCAACAAGCAGGTAGCATTACACTTGTACTGCATCAGTAATGAACCTTTTCAAGAGCATCTCTGATTTTTAAAAATAACAACAAAACAAAACAGCTCTCCCCCCCAAATCTACCATATAAAGAAGATCCTTAAAATGGACCAGTAGGTCTTGGAAGTGCAGATTTTTCATATTTTGCAGATTTTACTAGGCTATGCAAAGGACCTATAAGATAATCTTCTTTCAGGATTTCAAAACCAAAAACCAAGTAACTAGAAGGCATTAAAAGAAATACCATTTGTATGTACTCTTAAGTGGGGAGGAAATGGGATTACAAGTAAAATTTAACAGAAATTAAAAAAAAAAGTAACTGTTAAGCCATCCTCAGCACCACAGACATTGTTTCCTGCTTTGAAACAAGTCACTGAATAAGATGGCAAAACATCTCGAATATACTTGAGATACTGTCCCCAAGGCACAGCATTTTAAAAAGCCCTTCTGATGTACTGAAATGAAATACAGCATGCTGACTGCTTCTACATATTCTCATTTCTGAAGCCGAGAGTCAAACGTGATTGACAACATACTATAAAATAGGATATTTAACTTATTATCAAATATTTTAAACAAATCAATACCTCCAGCATTCTCATAAGAATATCTCTACCATTTCCATTTTCCTGTTCGCTTTTAGACCTGATGCAGTCTACCAGATTTAGCAGAAGCTTGCAAGACATTGTCTGGATACTGCTAGGCAACGACTCATCATCAATGTTCTTGGCAAATAACTGGACAGCAAGGGAGAGATCATTGAGTGGTAAATGCTGACGGACATGATGTACCAGGTCTGCCAGGGTACTATATGCAAGTGGTCTATCAGTGAAAACAAGAAATGAAGAGAACATATTGAGGATAATTATAATTGTTGTTAATTAGACTTAACAAATAATTACTACCTGGAGCTATTTCCAAGATTCTAAATCCAAATTTTCTATTTTTATATTCAAATCCAGAGTTCACAAGACTTTTTTAATTACACAAAAGAATCATAACCTCTACAATCTAACCAAAAATGTATGAATCTGTCCCACAACACTAACATTATCCCTCTGATATTTCTCCCCCCACTACTGAATATCCCCAGCACATATTTTCATCTACATACAGCTAAAAACAAACTGGCATGTTTTAAGCAACACTTTAAGCACAGTTGCTAAGCTGTTTCACAATTAATCACTGACGGTTCATGATTTCAGAAGTGGTTAGGAAAACTGATAAATTTTTAAAAAAATTCTTTTCAAATACCAGGTTTAAGTATCTAGTAGAGCAAGTATTTCAAAATTTAAACCATGTTGTCAACAGGGTACAGCAGATACTTAAGCAAGAGGAAATCATTCTCCTAGTTCACATATTTCACTCTGGTCAGCAAAAGCAGCTAAAAAAACTAGTACACTATTGAAGACACAAAGCAAGTAATCTTCCCATTTAATTTTTTCAATTGCAAAGGAGTAAGTTTTAAGGTACGTATTGACAAAACAGTTTAATTTTCATTCAGATTTCACCCTGGACACAAGATTTCATGATATGCTGAAAAGATACCAAGTTGATTTCACTGTGACCACTGTTTTGGTTGTGAATTCCCATTCACCCATTTATCCCATTTTGCCCTACACCATGCTGCACCATCAAAGTGTTAAATAACAACCACTCTTCACAGCAGCAGGAGCCCTTCCAATATTAGAATATAATCAAATTAGTTACTTAAAGGAAAGATTCAGGAACCTATACAGATATTGTCATAATAAGCCCTGAAAGGAATCAGCCCTGGCAGGCAGTCAGCGAACTATTCCTGTCATACCTCAGTGTCTCTCGGGCAGTATATCCAGAGCCAATTAGTATAGATTCATCAAACAGCTTGTCCATACATGGAATAAATTCTATAATTTAAAAAAAAAAAAATTAAAGAGAAAGCCATACATAATGATTGGCAAAGGAAATTATCAAAATAAGATAGTTAACCATCAAACTGCTTAACTTAGGTAGTTCAACCTAGGTCAAAAAGTGGTTTTATTACAAAACTAATTCCTGAAGCTTATGAAAAGCAAGTGTCATTCACAAGGGAACTTTCAGTTAACCTCTTCTGACTATGAGCTTCACTGACATTTGCCCCTTAAGTAACACTGCAGTACACAGTCAAAGCCACAGCACTGAGATGACAAAACCAGTTACATCTGGAAAGACAAAACACTTACAGTACTTTCAACTTTGCAGAACTTTTAAAATGTAACTAATGAGCTACTGGGAAGAAGTTTGGGCAACACTATAGAACACAACTCTGGTTTGACTGGCATTTTATCATACAAGCTCTAGCCCAAAATATAATGCAGAATACATGCAACGTGGAGTCCAGGAAACAAAGAGATGTCAGTAATAAAAATCAAGCAGCAAAGCAAGACCAAAGAACCATTTGCTTCTTAAATATAGAAATCAACAAGTTGATGGAATTGATTAGGTCACTCTAAGACAGATGATGGAAATGGCAGGAAGGATTAACTGTCCTGTCTCCTAATAATGCAACAAACTTATTAATAAATGAGCAAAAAGTCAAAGAGAAAGAGGAGCATCCAGCAACCTTCATTCTCCACAGATTTCCAAACAGTATTACAGATAAAAATCCAGCATTTTCAGAATGAAATCTGAAACAAACAAGGAACCAGCGAGGTCCACTTAAAGGAAAGGGACAATGTAGCAGCTGCCTTTGCTTTAAGAAAATGTCATATTCTCCAAAAATAGAAAGGAAAAGGAGACAACTGGCACTGTTTCTTGAGCCAGGTAGAGATCTGGAAGACATACAGAGCAAGAAGCAAATAAGGAACAAGAATCAAGATTCTAGATGCAAAGCCAATCCATTATTTTACAAGGCAACCACCAGAGCAGTGATGATACGAGAATAAACTCAGTCATAGCCAACAAATAATACTGTGGAGAAAAAATTTGAGTCAAAAAGGTGGTTGGAAAGGAACTACCTTTGATCATCAAACCACTGTTTCAAAAAAAGGAACTAGAGTTAGATGCACTAATGTTAGCAGAGATTGAGATACAAAAACTGAGGATGGAAAAAAAGCAAAAGAAATGCAAACTGAAGAACAATGTTTGTGCATATTGAACACATTTAACATTAACATTCCTGTGTTGTGCTATTACTCTTAATGTGAACTAGTAAGAGAAATGAAAGCAAAGCAATCAATGATAAACTGTTGACACCAGACCACTGATTGAAGTCTCTCATTAAGCTTCAGAACACAAGAATATTTTAGGTTGAAATTAAGAAATATTCACAATATTCATTCACTAGAATTCAGAAACGGTGTAAACAATTCTAGATTTTGAAAGGAACATCTCATACAAAATTCTCAAAAGAAATAGCTTAATAGGGATGAAAATAGATACATTTCTAAATTTTATTTTAATTCTATCTTCTAAGCCAAGTTCTAAAACCCCCATCTTATATGTATGTGCATACCACATTTTGCTGATATGAAGTTTTCTTAGACAGGGGCAGGCTTTACAGTGCTAACAGTCAAGAGAGCAAGTGCAGTTTCACCTCTGCTCTTTCTTTTAGGAATCAGAAATGAAGTTCCACACAGACAAAACACATCACAGTAAGATACATGCATTATTCCTCAACTCTCAATCAACACACAAGAGCGAGACTTAGTTTGAAAGATTATTTCACCGAGAACAAAAATGCCACTGGTAAGACCCACAAACATGCAATGCTTCCCTCAACACTCATTTTCCCAAATCAGCTGAATTGCACCAGCAGAATGACTGAAAATTTATCTTCTACAGATTTCCATATATTTTATATGCCACTTCTCCTCTTCTTCACACTCCTTATCCCTTCTGCAGTACCATATTCCCTCTTCACTGTAACATTCCTAAGCATTTCCTCCAGTGCATCCAGTCTGGGGCTCCCAAGTAGCCGAGAACAGGGCTGGAGGGTTGTGTTATCAACACATGGTAAAACACCAGCCAGCTGCCCAAGGGCAATGACTTGCTGAGTTCACACTGCTATTTATCCATCTAATAGAGACACTAAGTTAGTCAGATATTTGGGGGTTTTTTTTTGTTTGTTTAGGTTTTTTTTTTAAGGAAAGAGAAAAAAAGAAACAAAAATCCCACCCACTCCCGAAACAATCAAAAGTATGTAAAAGTATGCAATAGTCTAAAAGAAATAAACTGTATGACTCAAAACACAGAAACAGTTGAAAACTCTCCAGTTTATAGACACATTTTTTAAAGCACTACATACGGCTCCTCAAGTCTGTTGTCAGGATGTGCTTAGCAGCAATCAGAAGCTCCTTCCGGAGATGTGCTGTCTCAGCTGGACAATTGGAGAGCAACTGCAACATTCCTTTCACCATTTGCTGAGAATATTTAGCAACTAATTCCTACAGCAAAAAGTAACATGAATACAATTATTATGACATTTTATTCTAAAGCTTTGCTTTACATTTGTAAAATAACATTCAATGAAAATTCACTTGTCTTCACTTCTCTTCAAGAAGACTATTTTTAAAACTACAACAGCCATTCCATAAATGCCTGGGGCAGGGGAAACAGCACATTTTTATTTTGCATTCACATGAGAATAACTCTGAAAGGACAACTCTCTACAACCAGTATAGCCCTATCTTCAGATCTGCTACACAAATGCTCTTCTCTCCAATCCCTGATGCACTGCAGTCGTGCTGGTCACTTGCCTCCCATAAAGCACCTAGAAATTTGTTGCTCCAAGAGTAAGAAACAACAAAAATACAACCTACCTGGTAAATTCTTATGATGTAAGCCAAAAAAGATAAGGTTTTAATTTGAGCAGCGATGAAATCAGCATACAATTCTTTGTTATAAAGTTTATGTTGCCTGAAATGAAATTGAACAGTGGTTATAACATCCCTCCTCTTTAGTACTTTTGTTCAGAAAATACACAGAAACTTCAAAATTATATCTTGTGGTGAGGTTCTTGCTTCATAAGGAAATAAAATCACCGGAAAGCTCATTTTCAGCAAGCTCTCTGCCATTCAAATTCCCAGCATCCCACGCTCTAAGCAGAAAAGCACAGCCAGGAGGCTGCCATACAACTTCCAGTTTTCTACCAAAATCCAAACCAGTACATGAGCAAACATTTGCCTCTGCTCCCATAACTGGGGCAATTATTTTCCTCCCAGCAATATTCCTTCCCACACACTTGTCTCTCTCAAGCTTCAAAGACTTATTCAGATGGACAGACAGGGAGAGACAGTGATGTTACTCTGCTGCCCTGCTCAGCACCATTTGCTGCTCCTCTCTCATGCAGAAAAAGCAGTGCCCTATCTGCAACATCACAAGGCTTCAATGAAGCTATACCTTGAGAGCAAAAATGTACTACTGGTACTATGGGAACAATTAAGTATCCTTGTCTCTGTCATGTATTGTCTGTGGTAACAGGGATTTCTGTCAGAAACTATTTTAAAAAATGCATTATCAAATAATAAATTGGGACCTACAGCACAACTATGGATTTTAACAGGGACACGTGATGGAAATATTAAGATTTGCCAATTACTTCACCTTCAAAACTTAACAATTTTAAGTCAAATAATCATTACTACTTTTGAAATTAAAAGCAGTAAGTCTAGAAACAAAAAAATCACAGGATGTAAGACAAAAATATTTTGGGCAATACTGAATAGCAGGTTTAAGTATTTTATCCCAAATATCATCAACATACTGTTAAAAGGCTCTTACCTTGCTTGAGCAGAAACCTGTATTATAATAGTGTTCATAATCAAGGGCACAAATTCAGCTACTACGTTGTGAATGTTCAGTTTGTAGAGCTTAAAAAAAAAAAAAATTATAAAAGTCACACCACAATCAACTTGAGAGCTAATCAGAAAAAAAACTCAGCAGTGGTTTCTTTTGTGCTGTGCAGACTTTTTTTTATTTTAATCTCAAAAATACATTGCATTCATTTCTACCAATCCCTTAGCCAGCAGAAGTTACACAAACCACAAGAAATATTTCCCTGCAAAATACTGAAGCATACTAACCTGATACATAAGAACAACAATAATTGGTAGCTCAGCCAAGACCTTTAGAGATAAAGATCCTCTTGGAATTATAGAATGCTGAAAGAAAGAACACGTTTCATAAGTGATTCAATTAGTAATTCAAAAAAGTATTTGAAATACATTTTTAAAGAAACTGCTAATTTTAATAGCACTATATTTAGCAATAACATTTTTAAAAGCACAAAACCATTGTATTATATTAAATTAATCATATTAAACTATACTGGATATTACATTTAACAAAAAAATCTGTAATTAGAGCTGAATAGAAAATATCTGAAAGTTTCAGCCAGCTACTACAAATAAATCTGGATAAGTAAAACAAACAGAAAGCAAGCCTGTCACCTTTACCTGCCTTTACCATTTGGTGTGTTGTGATACAGTCTCCTAGTTAAAGGGCAGTTGGAATACTCACTGTTCTCGTTTCACTATCTTCTCGTTCAGGGTTTACTTTCACCACAATTGTTGTGATCATGCCAACCATTTCAGGAGTAGGGACAGTGTTCTCTGGAATCACTTGAGGATTCTCAAAATACCGATTCTACAAGCAAAGAGCAGAAGAAAAACACCATGCTAGTAATAGTCAAAAGGCCATTTATCTCATTAGGATTCCTCCATATAATTTTTCCCCATAACAGGTGATTCTTTTGCTAAAAAACCCATCTGAACAGATGCTCTGTGTGAGCGAGGAAGAGCAGGCAATGGCCGCCACAGAGATCAAGCACAGTGAAGAGCTCTAACTGCTGGGAAGTGCATCACTTCACCCTTCCTTCACACAAAACCCATGTGACTACATGGTCACCACTGCAGTCAACTGACAGGTGCTTTATTGTGTAAGTTTACCTCAGTTTTCTCTTACTAGTAATACCATGCTACAAACAGAAGGTTTTCCAATTAAAACAATGAAATTTCTCCATTTTCAGACATATTTCTGTTAAATACTTTTAATGAAACTACATTTATGTTGTATCACTAGATATTATCTAGTGATAGGTGGTATCTTTTAGGAATAAAGTTAAGAAATAAAAATTAGCTTTCTGACTACAGCAAGGGCAACTTAAGAAATAAAAAGCTTACCACTACTTTTGGAAGTTCTTTGTAAATCTGTTTCACAAAGTCCAAAAAATGATGGATCTAGGTAGGAAGGAGTTGGTAAAAAAAAAAAAAAAAAAGTTTTAAATCTCTGTATTAACAGTAATTACATAGAATCTTTAGTCACCACTAGAATATACTTTTCATTATATTTAAAACAAATCTGAAAGCATTCCAGTTCCTTCTGCTCTGCCAATATTAAGTCAAATTGCACTGGGAAAGAATCCAATTTACTTATCATCTCAACATAGTTCCAACACAGTATTATTGAAGTAATTGATTCTATGATTCTATGAAACCAACTAAGTATTCCAAGGAGAAAATCAAGGAAAGCAACAGACTGAAAATGTAACCTTGCAAATACTTCTTCAAGAGTCACAGAAGAGAAGGGCAGGGAGGGAGACAACCATAATATTCCTTTCCAGGGATTTTCCCTTCACAAACCAAAAAGGCACCAATTCTCTTCCATTCTGTGGGAATTTTATTCCTTAGTTTAATCATATTTCCCAAAAACACTTAGAGCAAATATAACTAGGCTTTAGCAGCCTTTTCTCTCCCAAGGGTACTAGCACTATGAAATCCTCCTTTAAAAATTACTTTAAAGTAAAAAAAAAAAAAAAAAAAAATTAAATACATGGTTACCACAATGGGTCAGCCAATGTGAAAGGACAGCAGGGAAAAAAAACAACCAACCAATGCACTGGAAAAAAACAATTCTGAAGAGCATGGCAGTAACTTCTATACCCTGTAAGATTTATGACCTACTTCTTGAGTGATTGCTGGTCGGAACTGTTTGTGCAATTCAATAATTATCCTTAAGCAAATCAGGACATTTTCTTCATTCTCTGTCTGAAAAAAAAAAGAGAAGTTCTGGTGAGCCTACTGCTGCATTCCTCAACTACTCTGTATGTACTCCAAACCCTGTAAATTGTACTCATCTCAGCAACCTACAAGTGCCCCATTTACATGAATTTGCATAAGCAACATGCCTTTATTTTGATATAACTTTACCTTGCAGCCTTATATGGCTAGAATTAAATTCAGCCCTACTGGAATAGAAAACAGAAGTTTCAACCACTCTACACCTGCTTCTAATGCCCCACAGAAAGACATGTGGGGCTATTTACACACCAAGACACCCCCACATAGAGCAGGTTATTTTCTGTGAACTTCAAATTACAATGATTTCAACTCCAAGTAAGAAACAAAACAAAGTCCCTAGAGTAAGGTATCTGCGCTTTTCAGAAGTGTTCATGAATGAAGCCCTGTTTAGCATGAGAACAGTGCCTTGTATTTGTAAAATCCAAGTTCCTCAGGGGCAAAGAAGAACATGCAGAAAACCTGTAGATAGCAAGATACCACACTGGTGAAGCCTACACAGAATGCCCTTCCACTCTCGCTCCAGAAGCACAGCTGTTTAAAACTCTACGCCCAGCAATTCTTGAAGTTCAGAAAGAAAAGGAAAATCTTTCTGAAAATTTGAAACACTTCTAAGAGAAAAGAAAAAAATACCTCTAGAAATCTAAACATCACAGACAGGATATTTTTGGTATGAAGACGAAGATGTTCATTTGTTGGTATTCTGTGGATTATTTCAAGCACTAGCTTTCGGAGTTGCTATAAAAAGGAGGAGAAAATTAAAGATATTATAAAACTTTTTAAAAGCCCACAAGAAAAAATTGGTTGTAAGACCTTTTCAGGTTAACACTTCTGTAAACTTAGAAAGAAAAACATATTTTACTTTGTGTAGACATACTCTGTATATACAAACACATAATGCTTCCTACTACCCACATATGTGAGTAAAGCAAATTTAACAAATTTACAGGTGAAAAATGCAACTTATCACTTTTTTAAGGAACTCAGTTTCAAGTATTTAACAACATAGATTCAACTTTTGCCTTTCATGCTACAGCAAAGCCAGTGATTCATAACAATGTGTCATACTTCAGTGAAAGCCAATTCTGTTGCACCTTGGTTTTCATAAAAGCCCAGATCTGCAAAGTTTGTAAGTAACTTATTTAGAAACTACACTTCTTCAATCTTACTCCAGATAACATCTATTTTTAACAGCAAAGTCTATACATAAATCGGTTCATCAGTTTGATCAAGTACCTTGACTAAACGAGTGGTCTACTGCACAAACTGCAAAGAAGTAAGAGATGCTCCACAGGTTACCTGTGCTGGCTTCTCCTGCAGAAACTGAACTTCTCCATCCTGTAGAAAGGTGAGAAACCTAGGGATGATGTGTTCCAGGAATGTAGAATACTGAGGGGAGGATGTCACATTCTAATTAAAAAGAGACAAAAAAATTTCAAATGAGGGGAGAGATAACACAGACATTACACAGATGATGGTAAGTTACATCCAAAGACACCATTAAACATTTTCAGTGACTTTTTAATAGATAGAGCTATTACACATCTGCTGGCACACTACAGAGTGAAACACTAGTGAAACAAACAAAAACAAAATCTCTTTCCTCCAATTCCAGCAGACTGAAATATAATTTTCTTTTTCTACTTTAACATTTTCATGTCACACAGAAAATAAAAGTGGCATAACACCGAGCTACTTTAAATGGAAAAAATAGCCAACCAAAATGCTGTAGATGTTCTTGAACACGAAAGACTGACAAACACATTCACATTTCACCTCTCTAGGACCCCCAAGAATTTTCAGCCACTGTCAAACTGAGATTTTAGTTATTGCTGCAAATAGATCACCCACACTGAGCAGTACTTTGCACTGTGAAAACAATCTTGCACTACCGTCCACTTGTGAAGTCAGAAGAAATATTACATGAGCAAGCAACTGCTCCACATGCCTTAAAAAAAAAAACCTCTAACTTGGCCACTGTGAGGTTTATTTTGAAACTCAGCTGTAGTTCATGTATGTGTTGTAAGGCAACTCTCTGAAGTATTTGGGATACAGAAACATACAGGTCCTTAATAAAAGGTACAAATGAGAACACAGCATTCTTTTGAAAAATCTATCCAGGCATTTCAGGGGTTGATCACGTTATCGCTGACATAACGTGCAAGTTTTATAAAGCCACCTCTTTTAAAGTTTCCACTACTATTCTCTATGGTACAACTTCATAACATGCAACCATAAATCACATTACACTAGGCATACTGCAAACAAAGCTGGGTTTTTTACCTCAAGAGCTCTCAAGAAAGCAGACAGATGTCATAAGAAGGGCACATTTTAAACACACATGCTGGTTTTGGCTGGGATACAGTCAATTTTCTCCATAGCAGCTAGTCTGGGGCTACATTTTGGACTTGTGCTGCTAGCAGTGCTGGTAACACAGGAATCTTTTCCTTATTGCTGCCTAGTGCTTACACAGAGCCAAGGCCTTTTCTGCTCCTCACCTCACTCCACCAGTGAGGCATGGGGTGCACAAGAAGTTGGGAGGGGACACAGCTGGGACAGCTGACCCCAGGTGACCAAAGGGATATTCCAGGCCATGTGACAGTGTCTAAAGCTGGAAGAAGGAGGATGGGGAGAACATTCAGAGGGATGACGTTTGTATTCCCAAGTAACCATTACACAATGGGAGCTCAGCTTTCCTAGGGATGCCTGAACACCTGCCTGCCATGGCAGTGGTGAGTGAATTCCTTGGTTTGCTTTGCTTGTGTGTGTGGCTTTTGCCTTACCTATTAAACTGTCCTGACCTCAACCCACAAGTCTTCTCACTTTTACCTTTCTAATCCTGCCCCCATCCCACCACGACCGAGCAGTTGTGTGGGGCTTAGATGCCAGCTGGGGCTGAACCAGGACAATACAAGACTGGATATCATCAACAGCAGATTAACCCCCATCTTCTCTTCACACCAAAGGTCTTCCACAGAAAGTCTGCTGTATCTCCTCCACCTCCCCATAGTCTTTCCAATTTTAAAATACTCTTAACCTCCTGAACTTTTATGTCATGAGAATGGTCCTACTTTGGAGAAGGAAGGAAGGTTTCCAATAAGAAATGGAACGGGTATTGCCGCGTCCTTGGAAAGGGGATCACAAATCCATTTAAAGAAAAGCATATCTGCACCAACTCAGCCTAAATTTCTCAAAATAGCTTCCTAATATCTTCTCTAAACAGCCAAGAGTAGGAAAACTAGCAGCACTCCTGATATCTATGAATTGCTATTCTGAACCACATAAGAAACTCCCACTATTCTAACCAGTTCATTATTATACTGCTGGCACAAAACCTCTGAAGCAGCAACGGAAGTCAATTTTGGAAGCTTCCTCCTCCAGAGCAGAGTCTGGAGAGACAATGAATATACTCCTTTCACCTCATCTGGAATCAAAAAATCTCTATGAAGAAATAGAGAAGGAAGAAATCCCCCCTCAGACAAATAATGTCTGAGAAAAAAGATTCAAAACTATCAAACATTTCCATCCAGAAACTGGTTTAGAAGACCAATATTCTCTGCTGGGCCAGGACAATATCCTAACAACTAGCCCAACAACTGGTACTGTCAAGTGGATAACATTATGGGGAAGCACCTCAATTTCAAACTTCACTTCAATAAGTCCTCCAGAGCCATCAATGTTCAGTTCCACCCCTAACTGGGGAGACACCCAGATCAACAGTGCAGCCAACAGAATTTGAACACTGTCACTTTCAACAAACTGATGATTTTTTTAATTTTTTTATTTCACCTGAAGTGAAAAATAAAACATGCTGAACTTTATAGCTATTGGAAGCTGAAGTGGGAAACAGAGAAGAGCTAGCAAAGAGGCTGTGGAAGCAGAAGATGAAAAGAAACTATCTAGCATAACAACATGCAGCAAGGCCACCCAAAAAACTCCAAAGGAAAAAAAAGAAACTAAAACTGTACTAGTGGTTCCTCGTGCTCCCTCAAGTACTTTCCACCAAATAAAACTACTTTAGCATAAGTCATCACCTCTTTATGTGGCATCATGCTACAGAACCAAGTGAGTTCCAAGAGAACATTATCAAAACAAATATTGAACAAGTTCTTCTCTGCTGAAGGCAAGAGCAAAGAGAATCAACCAGGCCTTCAGATTCTACACAGGTTACTAGACCAAGCTGCTAAAACTACTCCTTTTTTAGATAGCAAATTGTTTCAGAGATAGCAGGTCAACTTAAAACGGATGCTAAACCACACAAGAGTATTTTTAGATGGTTACTTATGGCAGTATGAAGCTCTGCTCACTCCATGTGCATATAGCTGCAGAGCTGGCATAGACATCTACTTACACACACTAAACAAGCATTAAGCCTTTTAACTTTGTTTCTCATATAATGCAGTTACACCAGCTCTAAATGTGTTACTCCACCCTATTAACCTGAGCAAAAAAAAAAAAAAAAAAATCATCACTGGACAGGAAATTGCATCAATAAATCAGAAACAACTAAAATCAAACTAAAAAGCTTTCAACATCCAGCATCTGTTGGATGCAACTTTGCATAAGGCTTACTCAAAAATATCCAAAGTCATTAACAGGACTAGAATGTGGTAAGGACAGACTACCTTACAGTGGTTACATTTTCTATTTTATGTCACAACATGACTAAAAAATAGATACAGGGAATTACAGTGATTCTAAGATCTTGAATTTATTCTCCAAAATAACAAGTTCTCTATCATTTCAGAACAGATACATGATAACAAAGGACTCAACAAAAGCATGATTTCTGCTAACAGAGTTGGTCTAATTTGTGTCTCACTTTCTGCTGCTCACACAAACTTGATGGCCCATCACTATGGAAAAGATGCCACTGGACCCATCTCCACTCCTGCCATCAATTCTACATCTGACATCTCCTCCCTCACTGCTATACCACTGAACTACTCCGAGAAATCAGAGGGGACTCTGTTTTGTGAAGGCACAATACACATTTGAACTAAAAAAAAAAAGAAAGCTTTAAATAAAATTTTTGAGGCCTTGGGCGACCTAGTCTAGTTGAGAGATGTCCCTGTTCATGACAGGGAGAATCAAAGAATGGCTTAGGTTGGAAGGGATCCATGGGCAGATGATCTCTAGGGTCCCTTCCAACCTAAGCCATTCTATGATTCTACGAAATACAGAGACCTCACATCATTCAACAAAATGGGGAAAAAAAATCTATTACTTAATGTTTATTTAAGTGCTTACTGAATAAAGATTAGAGAATGAAGGAGCTCTCTAAATCCAAATGTTACAATTCTTCAATAACCAGGCTATTTTCTAAATACAAACCTAAAATCAATGACAATATAAATCATAAGTCATAATATACTAATATTTTAGCCACATAACATCAGAAATCAGACCAATATACATTAAGAAAGACATTTCTGCCATTACAGAAAGCTTGGGGGCTTTGGTGGGGTTTTGTTGTTTGGGAGGGGTTGGGCTTTTTTTTATTTACCTCAAAATTCTCACTGACTTCTTGCATCATTTTCAATTTGGTTTCATCAGCTGAAAATGGAAGTTCAAGCAAAATAATTAAATGTAAAGTTGCAGTCATGAAGGATAACACCAGTGTCACTGATCAAAGAAGCAATCAGATCTTATCAGTTCAGCTATCATCACCCAATTACAAGGCACACAATTCTCACACACGACCCTCACACAACTGCACACACACACAGCTTCCTCACTTTGGCTCATGAAAGTTTTACTCATCACTTTGCTTCTTTAAAAACCAAAACTCAAAGCAAATTCAACACATTTATCAACTGTCTAAACAATACTGCAACATTTGTGAAACAATGTATTGGAGAACTGTAACTTTCGAGAGATTAAAAAAAACTTACGTGTATTGACATCTGTAAGAGCTGCCACAAACTGAAGGTATTTTTTCATCAAAGTGGTTTGGTCCACTACCGTAGGCCCTTGTGCTGACACAAATGCCATCTTGGAGGAGGAAGGCTCAGCTTTCAGTACATAAAATCAAAATCAACACACCTACAAAAAAAAATTAAGATGTGTCAGTTTATATGGCTGGTTAACAACAGCTATCACATCACCTACATCCATTCTTTCTACGTAAAAAAGAGAGCACATCTTTTCCAAAAATCCTAAGTGTCACATTTAGTTAGGCTTCCCAATATAACGTTTGGCACGTAGAGCACTCGGGATCACAGGAACACCCTTGTAGGTATCAGCAGGTACTAAGCGCTTCGCACCACAGCGTAAACATTCCTCTGTTCTGTTTGGTTTCTCGCACCAGCAGCAGCAGGCTCAGGGATGCTCCGGGCACCCCACACCCGTTATCCCATCTTCCCACCCAGCCGGACCCCAAAGTCACAGGAGCCCTCGGACGCGCCCCAGCAGGACTCGCTCCCGGCGGTGCCAGGAGTTCTGCCGCCACGAGCTGCCTTTCTCGCTTCTAAGAAAACCCGAAAGAAAATCCAGCTTGAAAGACCGGCGACCCCGCTCCTCCCCTCGGCGCTCTCCCGTCAGTTTTCCTCGGCCCGCTCCGGCCG